AATAAATAAATAAATAAATAAATAAAGCTGGAGATGTAGCTCAGTATTAAGGCCCTTGGTTCAATCCCCAGGGCTGAAAAAATTATAAAGTATTATGCACTGTATTATGAGATCACCTTGAAGCACCCTCAGTATCAGACATAATTTCTCACAAACTTGTGTTTATGGGTTGCATTAGCCTGATAGGACAGAACGTGGATGAGACAATATGCATGCATCCGTGATGGTACCCATGAGCTGTGACTGTCTGTGTTCTGAACACCATGGTTGAGTGACAACTGTGCTCCTAACTTCACAGGTGCCCATTTCCTGCGTGCTCAGAACAGCCAACTAGCTACACACTTGGTCAGCGCCAAAACAGCACTCCCAGAAATCCAGACAGCTGAGACGGCATCGGAAATCTCCCGCTGTTCACCTGCTGCAGACAGGAAGTCCTGACCTGCTTCCTTTCAAGGTGAGTCCTTCCCTGGCCCTCCTTGGTGGTGAAGAACTAGCCCGAAAGCCTTTTGGGGGTCTGTTCCTGCCAGAAGTCACTGTTCACACCATAACCGAAAGGGAAAAGGCGGCCAGAGTGTGAGGTTGCTGTGGATGCCCTGTTTCAGTGACACTGGCCGTAGCAAAGATGCAGATATTTGGAGTAGACAGATAACCGGTGAACCAAAACTAAACTTACACATGCAAGCCTTTGCAGGCACATAAAAATTACATTGAGCTTTTTCACATCTTTAGCTTTTTATATTTTTATTTCCTTCAGAATAGATACTATGAAAGAGTCAATAAAGACTAGCAGAACTTTAAAAAAAAATGAAGCTGAGTCTATTCCAATCGGATCATAAGCACAGGCCCGTGATAAACGTACCAAGTGCAGACATGAGCAGGTCACAGTGAGCACAGGTGTCTGCCGCGCTGCAGAAAGAACGAGCCTCACTGTTCACTGGTCCAGAAAGCACATTTGGTTTGGTGCTGTCGGTATCTAGGGTCACTACAAGTATGCGCCGCTCCCTCCGCTGCAGCTGGCTGGAGCCAGGTGTGACAGGAACACCAAGCCAGCTGTGTGCGTCCTAGACAGGCGCCCCTCCTTGCGGTGGAGGCGGGCGTATACACAGCACAAATGCCTTACTCAACATCTATGGATTCTCTGATATCGAGCTCTTCCTTCTGATCTTCGCCCCAACCTTCGACCTGTGTCACTGCATGGGAAAGGCCCTCCTTAGCATCCAGAGGTCGACTCCCCTCTTCCCGACCCACCACCCATATCCACCCTCTCGTGCCGAGACGCACCTGTTCCTTCTGGCTGAGCTCTCCCCTACTTCAGTAGAGGCTCTACCCGGAAGAGACTTATATTGGCTTCCACCAGACTTTTCAGTACCTCGGACAGTGTCCAGCAGAGGCGGTGCCTGGGTAGATGTTAAAGTGAAAATAGTACACGTTTATAAATCCCAGCACTCTGGAAGGCTGAGGCAGGAAGATCTCAAGTTCCAACCCAGCCTGGGTAACCTGCCAACTTAAGGACACCCCACCTCAAAATAAAAAATGCAAAAAGGACTGGGGATATAGCTCAATGCGAAGGCCCTAGCTTTGAGTCCCAGTACCAAAAGAAAAAAAAATCAGTTGTTATACAAAACCAGTGTTTTTTAATATGTAAAAATTAGGTATTATAAAACATAAGTCTAATGCTGTGTATTTTAGTAAAATATTCTAAATTTATGTTTAAAGCATAGGGAAATGGGAACAACTGAACAAACATATCTTGCTTTGGAGTCAATTTATCAGCATCTGTAAAATCATATTTAAGTTCTCCTGTCTCTGACCCAAGAGTTCTGCCTCCCTGATCCACTCTGCCCCTGTGGACAGGAAGCCCAGTGCAGGGATTTTCACCCAGGCTCCATTTGTGAAAAGCTGAAAACGAGTCACAGGCTCTGTCCACACCTGCCTCCCATGGGCCTCATCAGAGACTCGGCAAGTACCCGGTGGATGCAGCCTTCATTTCACAATGTGGGGCCCCTGCTCCTCCTCTGTCCCAGGCTGTGCCTTGGCCATCTTCCCAGGAACGCAGTCAGTCCAGGCAGCAACCGAGATCTTCAACCACTTGGCTCCCGGGAGGGCATCCTGGGTCTGCCATGGTCTAGGAGCTGAGATCCTGAGGGAGTGGAGCGGCCAGGTCACCCCTGGGGTCTTGGTGGCAGATGCTGAGCCAGGGCAGCCCCCACAGTCATAAGGAGTTTCAGTTCAGCCAGATCCCCACGTCTCAGGGCACTGAAGGACCACAAGAGAGCCAGTAGCTTTAACTCTTCCGCAGGCAGCAGGGAGGAAGACGCTTTTCTCACAAGGATACTTTTCTCACAAGTTAGCATCCTCTTTGTCACAGAATGCTAAGATGCTTTTGGGGCTGGCACACCATGTCCATGGGACAAACAAGGCATCAAGGGCCTTTGCTATCCAGCGGTCACAGGATTCAAGTGACCAGCCACCTAAAAATAGGGATACCAGGTACAGTCTCTGGGTCATGCCTGGTTTCAACAAAACCTCAAGTCCCAAGCTCACACGTATCTTTTGAAAGAACTGTCTGGAGCAACTGTGTCAAATCCCAAGGCCCCAAACCCCAAAGACGCTTCCTGCTGAGGCCGCCTCCCCTGAGACCCCAGAGGCTCCAGCTGGCAAAACCATCGAGCTTGCTGCTTCTCCAGTATCCAAAGAGCTCAGCACAGTGCTAGGCACTCACACCAAGCGATGATCCCTCCAAGGGTGGCAAAAGGGGGGAAAGGGTGTTCCCCTCGGCAGCTGCTGCAGGGTGAGCCCCTCTGACCCTGAGGAGACCCGATTCCATGCGCGTCTCCTCTCATGATGCATCTGGATCGGGGGCAACAAACGGGGCACTGAACTGACCCAGAAGCCACCCCCCATGGGTCACCCTAACTTTTTAACCAACTGCAACATTTGCTCAAATCTCATCATTAATTCTGTCTCCCTCCCCCTCTCCCTCCTCCTCCTGTCTCATCTACAGAAGCACAGGCGCTGGGACACGCGCTGATCTGCAGCACACCTGGCTGCAGGAGCTGCTGCTCACTGCTCACAGAGGGTCTGGGAATGGGGGCGAGTGGAGGCTGGGCCGGAAGATCTTTGGGTCCTCGACCCAGGTCCATCCCCTCATGTTTCCCTGGCATCTGCAGAGTGAGGCTCAAGCTGCTCTTTCTTCTGATCCAGCATCCATCTCCAACAGAGCAGTAAAATCGTGAGCCTCTCTCCTCTGTCACATTCCCCAGCATAGCGGACATCCATGTGTTGCTTAGGGACAGGAAACCCTGGACCCCACCCTGAATCCTGCAAGCTGCTGCGACCAGGGCAGAGGGGTAAAGACGCAGAGGAACACGGAGGTGTTTCTGAGCCAGCAGGCAAGACATGCTCACAGTCAGGGCTCGGCAGCTCGACAACCGCTCGACTGAAACATCTTCCAATGTCGGCGGCAGCCCGGAGCCCTCTGCCAGCGTGCGGATGGTGACCCTCTCCTCTCCCACCTGGAGGAGACAGCAAAACCCGAAGCACCATCTGGGCTGTTTGTTTCAGGCCTACAGGCGCCTCCGCCAGTGCCCCTTCTACCAGGCAGCGACACAGACAGTCTGTGCCGCTCTGCTGACAATGTCGCCAAGCTGGGTACCGACCCCCGTGCACTCCCTCATGTTCCGTGATCTTGGTCACGGATCCTCAGCTGAGCATCCTTCTCCTCTGATTCTAAGCCTCATAAGAAGGCAAACTGCTTTACATATAATAAATCCATAATAGCACCAGACCAGAAATTTGGAAGCTTTTTGGAAGTATTCAAAGTAGTCAGGAAATGATCTTTGGAGGCGGAGGAAAGACAACAGGTCCCTTGAGGACACTGAGGTGCCATTGCTTGGGTTGCTCCAAGCCCAGGCAGTGCATGACTGGCACTCAGAACTCCGTCTCCTGTCTACTGAGTTGTATGCCACATGCCCCTGCTCCGCTAAATATTTCCCTAAACCGCACTTTAAAGGTGATCTCACATTGCAAAACTTTGGCTCTAAAAAGCAAACGGACACTCCCATTAAGAGCATCCTGGCCCACTTACACAAATAATATATTTTGTACTTTCTTATTTTCAAGTGTATTTTACATAGGCATAATTGTAACAGGAGCACGAGCACAACTTTCTATCCTGTTCTTCATTTAACCTTCATAAGTGCTTCTCATCTTCCCAAGAGTCTTCATCGACGTCCTTTTTAATGTCTGTGTAATATTCTTTGATTGAATACACTGTGACTTATTGTCTTCTCTTTTCTGACTACTTGGGTCGTTTCCAGTAAGTGCAACTATAAATAATGCTGCAATTAACATCTTTATTTCCTTGGCTAAATTGTGTTTTATGAATTAAAAGCAGCTGAATAGGCTTCTGTGTCATATTCCTTTTTGAACAAAAATGGAACGTCCTAGTTTCATAACAAGGAACAATCTAAATTTAGGCTCACTGACAGAGCTGGGTGACAAGTCACAACAGCAGTGGCAGAGTTCTGGAAGTGTTTTTAAAACAAAAAGTCTATTTCGCTTATTTGTCTCTCTTTAGGGAACTGAATAAGTTTTGTGTTATTTCATTTTAAAATGAGTCTCAAGATCAGCAACTTTACTCTTAGAGGATTAAAAGATATATAGTATCACTCCGGTTCTGTCACCTTCTGTAGAGCTTGCCACATGTGACCAAGGTTAAGGTTATCCATGAATGCATAATTTTCAAGGTTTTTGAAATACTGGGTAAAACAATCTTCCCTCACTGTCCTCAAGATTGGTTCCAGGACCCCCATGGAGACCAAACTCCACAAATCTCAGGTCCGGTGTGTAAAATGGTAGAGTATTTGCATATAACTTATACCCGTCCACCCATATACATTGAATCATCTCTGGATGAATGACAATAGGCCTCACCCAATGTAAATCCTATGAAAACAGCTGTTACACTGAATTGTTTAGGAAATAATAACAAGAAAAGGTACGTGCTCTGATGTAATTTTTTTCCAAATATTTTCAATCTGCAGTTGTTTGAATCCAAGGATATAGAACTCATACATCTAGAAGGCAGATGATAGTATACAAGTATTTTTTTAAATAAGTATTTTGCTGCCACAGATAAAACAATACCTGGTGAACATACAGCCGCTGTTGAGGGACATGTATTTTTTTTTAAAGGATCAATTAGAGTCTTAGAAATTAAAAGTATGCACTATCACAGCTTTCCATGGTAGCCCACGCTGCGCTTCCCAGATGCAGCGTGTACTTTTATCTTCGTTCTTTCCCTCTTTTTTCTCTTTACTCGGTCCAATATTGCTCTGCAGAGCCAGTTTCTCTCCCACTCTTCACTTCTACTTTCTCAAATAAGCTTTGCCACTGCTTTAAAAAAGAGAGAAATCAAAAGTATGATAATTAAAATATAGAACCCAACAGAGTAGATGAATCCTGATCAATGCAGCTGAAAATAAATCATTGCCCAAATAATCAAACCACTCAGAGGCCATCTGATATGAATTTCACATACAGAGAACTGAGAGAGAGCATGGAGGACAGAAAAACATAAAATAAATTATCCAGAGCTAACTAAAGACACAAGTATTTTTTGTTGAATGAGTTCGCAGCAGCCGATCACAGTGAATAAAACATTAGCACCTGCACTAGTGAGTTTTGCATGACTACAGTAAGATGCCCAAGACTGGTTATTTATAAAGTAAGGACAGGTTTGTGTAGCTCAGTGTTGGAGCTCAAAGTCGTGGGTAGAGCAGCAGAGTTCCAGTGGTTTGGCCTCGGCTAACACAGCAGATGACAGTGGTGGTGTGTGTCAGGGTGAATGGCCCCTTCTAGAGCCAGATAAAAAGGAAGCAGAGGTTCAGGAGGGGGGGTCCCCTCCAGCTAGCATCCTGACTAGCCTCACCTCTTAAAACTGCACAGCACCCTGGAGACCAAGGCTTAACATGTGGACCATGACAGACATTCATTCCAACCACAGCAGCACCCTAGGCACTTCTAGGCACTCCAGAACAACCAAGCTGAGGACGAAGCTCTAAAAGATTCCAAAATGGGGTGGGGTGGAGAGGACCTGGCCAGCAAAGGGACAAAAACCCACTTGGCTCTACCTCACTCACCATGAGGGGGCCAGGAAACAAAGGAGCAAGATCTGGAAAGTCTGAAGACAAAACCTATTTCAAACTTTGTGTTTTCTACCCCATCAAATGCTAATCTTTAAGTATCAGATCAAAACACATCCAAGATACATACAAGAGCTCCAAGAGTTTACCGTCCATGAGTCAGTTGTGCACAAGCCGGTTAAGGATTAACTCTAACAAAACAAGCAAAACAGTCAATAAATTTAAGAAAACAGGATGAGCTACAAATAACCACAGTGAGGGGCTGGGGATATAGCTCAGTGGCATAAGCGCTTGCCTGGCAAGCACAAGGTCGTGAGTTCAATCCCCGGTACTGCAAAAAAAAAAAAAAGATACAAAGCAGAAATAACCACAGTGAGGGGAGAAAAATAGGTAATAAAACCAAACCATTAACAGTCATCGCATGAGCTGCATGGATAGAAAAGTGAAATGCAGAGGAGAACAAAGTGTCTGTCTACATATTTCTCGATGCATAATATCTTTAAAAAATAACTGAAAACTTGCAACATATACATGAATCAAAACATCACAGCATCCCCCATGAAATATGCAATTACTGTGTGTCAACCAAAACTAAAAATTTCCAAAGAATTTCACCCTGGGATGGGGGAGCTTAGTGAGAGAAACTGATAAGACATGAGGGGAATTCAATTATGCTTTTAAAAATGTCTTGACTTATTCTGGAGTAAATAAAATTACTGACTAATTCTAGACCTTGCCTAAAATCTTTAAGGGTAATTACTAGGAACAGAGAGATGAGTAACTTCTTAATCTCAGATACTGGAGGAAAAATAATAGAAAAAACCAAAATGACCAAGCCTCAAAAGACAAGAAATAAGGCATAAAATAAGAGCTATTGAACAATTTGAGGGGTGCACAAAGGAGGTGCGCTCTCTAGGGGCAAAAGCATGCTTGCGGTGATTGTGGTGAAGCAATTGGATGTGCACAGGTTTGACCCTGGTGCAGTTAACAGTTTACCTTTACAGCACTTTCTATCAAATAAAAGCACGACGGTTTATCTCCGTCTATGTTACTCACCAGATCTGGCATCTTTCAGCTTCTGGTTCTTCCCCAAAGTCAAAATGATCATGAAAGGTAAATGTTTTCAATCAACGCAGGACATCAAGGCAGCCAGAACAGCACAAGTAATGATACAAAAGCGGACTTCAGAACTGCTTCAGAAAGTGGCCAGAATGATAAGCTGCGTGTGTTCAAAGCAAGCGGAGGATGTTGAGGGGAATTCATGGCTTCCTGTCTTTTACTGTAGTAAATTTTCTTTTAATTTAAACACTCTCCAATATTTCAACACACCTCATATACACATTACCTTTTTTAAAATGATCGTTAATTTAAAACCTTGTTTGAAAAAATACCTAGCAGGGCGTGGTGTTGCACACCTATAATCCCAGCACCTGGGAGGCTGAGGCAAAGGATCACTATGAGTTCAAGGCCAGCCTGGGCTACATGGTGAGTCCAAGGCCACCTGAACTACACAGTGAGACCCTGTCTCACATACACACACACACACACACACACACACACACACACACACACACAAGTGCCAACACCCACTGACCATAGATGAGACAATGCTAGTAGCTAAGAAGACTCCAGACTTCTCTGACCCAGGGACACTGGACCCAGAGGTGCCCATGGGCTGATGGGCAACCTCACCTAGCTGTGCCAGCACCTTCCTGATCCACTCCCGGGATACAGCCTCACCCTCCCCGCCTTCAAGGTGGTGGCCCCATACCGCAGCCTCGGCAAGTCCCACACGGTGAGGGATGCCCCCCCCCCCCCGCCCAGTAAATCTGTCCAAGCTTCAACTAAGTGAAACTCAGGCTTCTCCTGCCACCTGGTGGCCATGTCTTTTTCCTTGCTCAGCCTCCAGCTGCCTCCAGCTCACTGCCAGAACCTCCCGTGCTTAGGGATGGACCAGAGGACCGCAGACATCCATGATGTTCCTCCGGATGCACAGCTAATCAAGGTGGTGCTTGGGCTAGGACTTCGGTCTCTTGGCTTTGGTGTCATTTTACTTTCACTCATAGGAGGCATTTTGGGGCAGTTGAGCTCCAGGGAAAAGAGGGAGAGAAGGGCAGGTGGGAGAAGAGAAATGAGAGGGAGGGAGGCAGGGGGCGGTCACCTTGTACCCAAAGCATAGGCAGGACAGAGTGAGTTCCCAGAGAACCGACAGAACCAGTGCTACCCTCCCCTCCTTTACTTCCTCTCCTGGCTCCCGCACTCCCATTGGGAAGGACTGAGAACACAGGAAACAGGTCAGGTCTTCACTTGCACACCAGGCCTCCACTCCAAGCAGCCCCAAACTAGGAGATGGAGAAGATCTGATTCTAAATCTGGCTGAGAGTCTGGACTCATAGTCAACATAGACAAGCTTGTTACCACCTCTGAAACTCAGCCAGGATTGTGCATTAGATATGAGCCCAACACCAGGTGTGGCGGTGCACACCTAAATCCCAGCACTAGGGGAAGCTGAGGCAGGAAGACTGCATGCTGCAGTCCAGCCTGTGCAACTTAGTGATTTAGCAAGGCCTTGACTCAAGATAAAAAAATAAAAGGGCTAAGGATGTAACTCAGTGCAAAGGCCCCCCTTGCTGGAGGAAAGGATGGGAGGGAAACTGGCAATGATGCGTGAATCAAAACATCACATCCAGCAGCCAGCAGAAGTGGGAGCAGAAGAAAAGTAGCTCTTGATAATGTCCAGAATCACATTCATCAGCACACCAATCACTGCTAAGCATGGAATTTGTTTCACACCTTGTTAAGGAGACTCTCATCATCCCAGCTACAGCTGGGTCAGCAATGTCCCCAAGGGCCTGGGTGCCAGAGGCTTGGTCTCAGCTCATGGTGTTAACGGGAGGTGGTAGAACTTAGATGTGGCTGAGTCGGAGAAAGCTGGATGACAGGAGGACCTACCCTCAGAGGGCACAAAGGAACCCCATCCCTTTTCCCCAATTCTGTCTCTTCCACCCTAGCATGAGGTGGGAAGCTTCCTCACACTGTGACATACTGTGCTGCCACAGGCCCAGAGCAACAGGGCCAAGTGGCCATGAACTGACACCTCTCAAGCCATAAGCCAAAATCAACCCTTTCTCCTAATCCATTAATCATCCTGGCTATCTTGTCACAGCAACAGAAAGCTAAGAAGACAATCCCAGATGCTCTTATTTGACTGACCATCAGGGATGTGTGGGTGGTCAGGCTGAGAAAAACCTCAGAAGGCTGGCCTTGGAACTGAGAGTTTATCGTGTTAAGTCCCACTGCTGGTCAGCCAACTTCCAGAACTCTTTGTAACTTGCACACTGAAGCTCTGCACCCCTGAAATGCTGCCTTGCTCTCCACCTCCCCAGCCCCTGGTGCCCACAGTTCTACTTCCAGTCTGTGACTTGAAAAACTCTAGGGACCTCATGGAGGTGGAATCCTACTGTATATGTCTTTTGTGACTGGTTTATTGCCCTTTGCATTATGTCTTCAGGGTTCATCTGTGATGTAGCAGGTGTCAGAATTCCTGCCCTCTTTAAGACCAAATACTATTCCACGATATACTGTATGCACTGGTCCATCCATTGGTGGACACTGGAGTTCTGTCTTTTGGTGGTTTCCTCCTTTTGGCTCTGGTGAGTGATGCTTCTGTGAGGTGTGCAAGTATCTCTTTGTGCCCCTGCTTCCCGTCCTTTGGGAATACACCCGGAAATGGAGTTACTGCACCATACAAGGATTTTATGCCTAACCCTCACGATCTGCCATATTGCTTTCCACAGAGGCCGCACCATCTTACATTCCCACCAACATAACACAGAGCTTCCGAGTTCTCCACACCTCACAAACACTTAATACTCTGGATTTTTGTATAGTCACCATTCCACTAGACATGTTGGGGTGAACTTTTTTTTTTTTGCAGTACTAGGAATTGAACCCAGGGTCTTCACACTAAGCTACATCTCCAGCCCTTTGTTTTATTTTATTTTTTTTTTTTTTACTTTCAGACAGGGTCTTGTTAAGTTGCCAAGGCTGAGCTGGAACTTGTGATCCCCCTGTCTCAGCCTCCCAGAGCACTGGGCTTGCAGGCATGTGCCACCACATCTGGCTCACCCCACTTTTGACAGAGAACCTCTGCCTCTTTATCTCCAAATTATAAAAATGGGATGAGTTGAGCATTTTTTAGGAATATGGGCTCCACTGAGGTTAATCAAGGTATGAATCTGGGGACACGAACAAGGCAGCGAGGGTCATCCGGGGTCCTTAGTCACGAGCTTTACAATATCGCCGGCTACATCTTCTGCCACCTCCTCCGTGACCAAGCCCCACGTGGGGCAGCTTCTGTGAATCCTGGTTTCTGCCACCGCGGAGGCCAAAAGCACAGCAAACAGGGAGAGTGAGAAAGCAGCCGAAAGTCAACAAAACGGCCTCATTTCTGAGCCTTCTCTTGACACCTGAGGCCTCCTGTTCCCTCTTCTTCACCTTCTCTCTGTAAGCAAGAGTGTCTGGGTCCTTATCTCCCTCTAATCCGGTTGGGAAGTGCTGGATGTTCCTGACAGGCTCTCGGGGCCGCTGCACGGATCAAGTGAGATTACAGACAAGCAAGCACTCAAGTTTGAAGTGCTACATCAATGTACAGGATTATTAATAATCTCCCATTGATCTCTTAATACAGAAAAAATAGAAGCCTCCTCCCCCGGGGTTTCCATGGCAAAGAGATGGCTAGGACTCTCCCCTCCTCGGCTGCTTCCTCTTCTCTCCAGGGTCCAGAGCTCCGGCCCTTGTAATTCCATCACCCTTGCGGTTTGTCACCAACGCCACCTTGCTGTCAATCAGAAGTCGCAAGCCTGTTCTGAGTCAGGTGCACAGAGTGGTTTGGCTTGGCTCCTAGGACATTATAAAGCCATTTTTACCTTGTAGAGAACATGCAGAAATTGGGGGGAGTATTTTCAAAATTCCAGGGTTCTGACATTTTTGAAAACATTAGAAGACCCGGAGTCCTATCCACGCAGGGCTTGCGTTTCTCCCCTGTGACCGGCTTGAACTGGGGATTTGGACTGTGGGCCTGGGACACATGAGAAGCTGAGTGTGTTTGGCTGTCACCCTCTGTGTCTGTGAACTCACTGAACAGCACCAGGGAGTTCAGTTTGGGCGGGCGGGTGGCCATCTGTAAAACCACCGCCCCACCATGTGGTCCCCACTTCCTGGTGAGCTAGGTCCTTCAAAATGCCAAGAAGGGCAGTGTGCTGCCAGCCTCTGGGCGCCACAGCACTGCCTCGGCTATGTGTCTCTGTCTGTCTTGATCAGTGTCACGGCTGCCTGCTCACGCATGCGCATAGCTCCCCTGTCAGATGAGGGAGGGGACGTGGGCACAAGGTACCGAGGTATAATGGGAACCAGGGTCTCTCTCATCCACCCTGGGTGGAGATCAGGACTCAAATATTTGGAGATTGAATTTAATTAAAGTGGGATTGTAGTGGCCTTAGCCATATGCATCTCGTGGTTTTGTGCAAATCTTCCATCTCCCTTTGCTGTAAGCAAACTAAGGGTCCCCAGACTGGAGTCACTGCAATTCTGTGTCCCTACAGGCCATCAGGGACTTGAGGGCCCCAAAAATCTCAGGAGAGAAGCATCTCCATGGGAGATGAGCTGGTACTGGACCCAGGATTGCTTAGTAAACTGTGTCCAGAGAGGTGGATGCTCCCTGTTAGGAAAAAAGCCTGAGATCCTCCTGCCTCAGCCTCCCAGAGTGCTGGGATTACAGGCTTAGTGAGACTGTTTCAAAATAAAAAGATCTTGGGGTGTAGCTCAGTGTGAAGACCCTGGGTTCAATCCAAGTTCTACCACTGCAGGCCTGGGAGACCAGGGTAGAAGGGACTGAGTAATGAAAACACTTTCAAAAAGCAACCTAGACCCCTTTGAGCACAGAGCCTAAGCAGACCCTTCCAGTACCTGAGCCAGATTCCCAAGGAAGTGAGGTTCTATAGTAAACAAGGAAAGAGATTGATTCTTTTTTAAAAAGCTATACCTCCTGGGATATTTAAAAGCTGATTAAAAGGATAAGGATGAAGATAGAAGTACAGAATAAAGGTTTAGAAATAGGCCCACGAGTACACCATCAGTTGATATTTTTATTTTGCTGTGTTGTGGTGTTGGTCAAACCCAGGGCCTTCCACATGCCAAACATGTGCTCCCCAGCCCCTCATCGATTGATTTATGAGAAAGGAACCAGGCTTCCAGGGTCACCCACAGGGAAAGGAATAGTCTCTCCAAGAAATGCTGCTGGAACAATGGCACAATCACAGGCAAAAATAAATAAATAAAATCTTTAACCCTTATCTCACACTGCACGCAAAAATTAACACAAAAATGATCACAAACTTTAACGTAAGGGTTGAATCCTCAAAGCATTAGAAAAAAAGCACTGGATCAAATTTTTGTTACTGTGGGTTAGGCAGACATTTCTTAGAGATGACACCAAAAGCATAATCCATAAGAGAAAAAAATGATAAATTTTGACTTAATCAAAATTTTAAAACTTTTGCTCTTCAAAAGTACTAAAGAAAATGGAAAGACAAAAGCCGTGGACTGAGACAAAATAGATGCAAAACACATATCTGATAAAATATGTATGTATGTATGTATGTATATCCACAATATATAAAGAAATTCTGCAACTCAGTGACAAAACAACCCAATCAAAATGAATAAGCTGGGCATTGTGGTGCACACCTGTAATCCCAGCACTCAGGAGGCTGAGGCAGGAGGGTCGCTGTAACTTTCAGGTCAACCAGGGCTACAAAGTGAGTTCAAGGCCAGCCCTGATCTGCATAGTGAAACCCTGTTTAAAAAAAAAAAAAGTAAAATATTTCAATAGACATTTCACCAAGAGCTACATAAATAACTTATAAGCCCACAAAAAGATACTCATTACTATTACTGATTAGGGAAGTGCAAATTCAAACCACAGTAAGATACCATTAGACACTCACTAGAAGAGCAAGATCTAAAATACCGCCGGTGGGCAAGGATACGGAGAAAGTATAACTCAAATATTGTTGATGGGAATGCAAACTTAGAAAGCAGTGTGGCTGCTTCTTTAAATGTTATGCATACAGTATCAGGACTCTCAGGAGGAACAGAATCAATAGAAAAATATATGCATAATTATGCAAGGGGATTTGTCAGGTAGGCTCACAGGATCAAAGGCAGAAGAGTCCACAGTGGCCATCTGCGTACTGAGAGCTGCAGGATCCAGGAACAGTCCAACATTGAAAGCCTGGAAGGTCACTGTAGAGTCGTAGGTGCGAGTCGGCCTTGGAGGGCTGAAGAAATTGCAGATCCGCGTCCAAAGGTGACGCCACAGGTTGGACCTCTTCCAAGACAGAGACACTGCCTTCTTTTCCTTTATCTGTCCAGGCTACAAGCTTATTGGTTGGTGCTGCCCACTTCCGGGGTGGGCCTTCTTCTCTCATTTGTTGGGCTATGTGCCAATCATCCATAGACCTACTCAGAACTTTACTAATCTATTAGCCACTTCTTACTTACATTGATATACCATGATAACAACCACACATATACTTGCATATAAACAGCAACTCAATTCCTAGGTATCTGTTCTCCCAGGGAAAATAAAATAAAAACTGAAAACACAAATATCCCTCACTGATGAGCAGATAAAATGTGCTATAGCCACACAGTTGAATATCGCTTAGCGATCAGAGGGAATAAACTACCGAGCCATCATTAAACAAAAGCCCAATGCTAAGCTAAAAAGGTCCAGACTAACGTCTGCATTTTGTACAGTCTCATTCACATGAGATTTCTAGACAGAGAAGAACTTCAGAGCTGGTGGATCAATATGTGTTTGCCTTTGAGGTTAGAAATAGGCAGGAGGGACTTGGCCAAGGTGGTGTGAGAATGGAAGTGGCCTAAATGGCAGAGGGGCTACTGAAAAGGGTTGAACTGTACCCTTAGAATAGTTACAATTTATGGTTTGTAAATTATATTTCAATAAGATTTGCATCTGCTATAAAATACTCAGAAATCTTAACCCCAAGAATCTATCCGAGACACATTTTAGTAAAAATACAAAATAACCCACGCATTAGTCTATTGCAGCATTTTTTTTTTTCCTAAGCCGAAGGCTAGAAACAGCCCAAAGTCCATTGGTAGGGGACTGAGGAGTCATCTGTGGTATATTTGGGACACTGCAACTATAAAAAGGCATGAAGTAGGGTACAGTGCACACCAGTAAACTCCAGAAAATATCATCGAATAAGAAAAATAAAGCTGGGCGGGGAGCGCCAGCCTTCGGGCTGGCTAGCTTTCTGCCTGCTGGCTCCCGGTGGGTGGGCCCCCAGCGCACGGGGAGCCTGGGGCGGGGAGCGCC